TTATTTTAAATGGGTTGCCACCCCTTTTTTTGTTGTGAAAAATTCAGGCCCAACAGATGCAAAAATTATCGTTTCAACAGTGACTACGAATGTCAATGACTATTAAACAAAAAGACAAGCAAATAATAATAATAAAGAAAAAATAAATTTAGAAAAAACAATTTACTTACTAAACTACCTTCCCAAACTTAGAAATGAACATTATCCTCAATGTTTAAAAATTAGGCACAATCAATGTCATAACAACAAATGAAAGGTATTAAAGCAAATAAATATTACATAATACAATAATTAAAATAGTAAATATTATATAAAGAGATTAAAAACACAAGTTTAACTAAAAAACATAATGAAATCATAAGTTAGAAGCGTACAAAATTATATACAATTATGCATTGATAATAAGACTAAGCTTAATTCAACTTGGCCAATGGGATATAGCTTAGTTGGTTAGGTTCTTCCACCACCTCCATGTGAGCTGAGGTTCAAATCCTCATACACCCAATGAATATTTGTGTAAACCTCAATTCCCCAACCACTTGAATTAAGAAGAAGAAAAAAGAGCTTAATTTAGTTTGGTCTGGTCCTTAGCTATTAAGTTTGGAGTTGTGCTCAAGGGCCTTTGATCCGTCTCCTTCTTCCAGGTACCAGGCTATTCTTAGTTAAGCTTGCTTTGGTGTTATTGCCTTTGACCTTTGCCACAATGATGAAATAAAAACAAAAACAAAAATGAATTAGATTGTAACTTAGAAAGTGAAAAATTACAAAACCAGGCTAAGCGAATCCATCTATTATTTAATATGCAACACCACCAATAATATCTGGTCATTTCAGTTTTATTTTTTACATATGTGAAATGCCTTTTCCTCTTCTTTGTCGCATGGTCCTTGATTAGAGATGAAGTTCATTACAAAAGTTGATGAAAAAGTTGTGGAATTGGAAGACCCCCATTTTACAACTCGAAACAGTAAAGACTAGTCAGAAAAGCTAGAATATGAAAATTGCAATGCATGGATGGATGGCTTGTCTAACACTCATGTTAGAGAGGCAGAAAAGGGGAAAAGCCTCTTTAATTTAATAAAATTATGTTTTTTTTTTCAAACCAAATTATGAGCTCTTTCATTTTTGGGGAGTAGCTTGCAAAATGTCAAATTATGAGCTGTTTCATTTTTGGGGAGTAGCTTGCAAAATGTTTGTAACTCAAGTGGTTAAAAATATTTACACATGCACTTGAGATCTTAATTTCGATTTCACCTTCCATTATCGGTTGTATTAAAAAGAGTGCTGCTATTTCCACCCACCTGTCATATTTTCCCACCCACCTTATCTTCCCACCCACCATGTAAATTTGAAAAAACAAAATCCTATCTTTCCACCCACCATTATTCCTAAAATACCCTTTGATTATAACATTAAGAGTCAATTTCATATTTTTGCTTGTTTTTATGTTTAGGTGTAATAAAATATTCATAGAATTTATAAAACTCAATTAAAAAATAAGAAATTTTTAATACAAAAACCCATCCGCCCCAAGCAGCCACCCTTTCCCCGACCCCAATCCCTAGCCCCACCCCACTGCCTAGATTCATCCCCAAAAACCCAAGCCTCAATACCACCGCCTCCGCGTCCACCACTGACGAAGAATTGTAGGCTCTGCGAGAAGATAATGGGCGACTGAGAAACTACTGTGGATTCAATCAACTTCTTGACGCGAATCAGAGCTCTAAAGCAGGAATCTAAAATCAATTTCCTTTCAAGGTGGCCACAGGTATTTTAATTGTTTTAATTTTGCCCATATAATCATTAAAGCATTGGGCTTTGTTTAAAATACATGTTTGTTTTTTAGGAAGTGATTTGGAGGCAGCTGAAATTCTCATTAATGTTGACCATGAAGAACCAAGTTGGTGGGTTTGGGTAACGGAAGATATGATTCCGGGCAAAGTTGAGGAAATGAGTGGAATTGACAATGAAAGCTATGTTCTTGTCAGTGGGGAGATGGCTACCGTGCGGTGGAGGAAGAGGGACAAGGGTGGGGTATGCATAAGGGGTTTGATATTTGTTAATAATCTTTTTAGTTTTTTTATATAATCATTTTCTTATATTTTTTTAATTGGTTTTAATGTTTTTCCCTTAAGCCATATAAGTCATTTTATAAAAGGGTAAATTGGTCTTTAAAATTTGCAAGATTAGGTGGGTGAGGAAAGAGGACAAGTGAGTGGAAATAGCAGCACTCATATCATCGCTTATGGGCTTAAGTTTAGAGTTGGGCTCAAAGGCCTTCGACCTGTCTCCCTCTGCTGAGCCTCTTTTGGCTGTTACTATATTAGTTAAGCTTTCTTTATTGTTTTGGGCTCAGGCTATGATTACGAAGATAAAATTAAAATAAAAAACAATGAACGATTAGGTTAGATTAACATTTTGACCACAAAAAAAAAGAAAAAAAAAAGCGATTGTAAAAAAATTAAGAAAATTATGGACCGTGTTAATTGGCTTGACCAAGTGCTAATTATTTCCAATCAAATCAGACTGATTAGAAAGATGACACTCGACACTGAAGGGTACCTTTTTCTCGGGTGGAATTTTCTGAAGGGTACAAGCACTTTGAAGAAAATCTATCATGATGTGAAAGCCGTTTTTTGGGCACCTTTGTATTTCAGCAGGCAGCGTCCAAGCAAGCTCATGGAATGGATACGTAGAATGGTTCAAAGATTTGGCAGATATAGCTACGACAAAACTATAAATTATAAATAAATGAGAAGTCCTTATAGAGTCTATTTAGAGAGAAAAATTCTATTTTACCTTGTGACATCAAACTCTTTGAAATTAGCTCGAAGCTTTCAAATTGTAAAATACCCAATTGGTAAAAAGAAATGAACTATTTTAACTGCATCAATCACATTTAAACAAGGTTAACTTGGTTAACAACAAACTACGGATGACCTCAAACCTTAATAAAGAAGAGGAATTGAGCAGGAGACTCATCCAACACCCAAACATAAAAAATAAAAAAATAAAAAAATAAAAGATAATTTAGGAAACGTCTTCTCTTATTCAATTTTATTTTTTTAATGTTTTCAAGTGTCTAAAGACTAAGAGAGAACAAATTAAGAGAAGTCCTTCCTTTTTTCCTTTTTCCTTTTCCTTTTCTTTTTCTTTTTTGGATAAAAA